ATTTATAAATTTTCTTTTTTTAACCACAAATTCAAATTTTTTTTATTTTTCTCAATAATATTACGTCACGTTTTTTGTTTGATTTAATATAAAAAAAAAAAAATTTTTAATCAAGTGACCCCAACGAATCCAAGAAAACGTCATCATCATAAACGTGATTCGAATTTTAGTAAAAATCGAATAACCGTAAAAATAATTTTTTTTTTGCGCGCGACTACAACTAATTAAAAATTTTATTTATTTATTTTCTATCTCTCTTTCTCTTTCCCCCCCTCCATTCGATCAAAAACATTCAAACATTTAATTAAATATAAAAAAAATCGATAACAATAATAATAATTTTTGTTGTATTCATTTTCAGAAATGGCAACTCTATTATCGAGTTAATTGCTTTTATAAAGGCGTGGTGTGTGAGTGTGTGTGTGTGTTCTTTGTTACCTGTTATTTATTTATTTATTTATTGTTGTTTCTGTTTATGACGTTTAGTGGTGACATTTTATGTTTTTAGAAAATATTTTGAGAGTTTTTTGTTTTACGCCTTTTTTTGTTTTCCCCCTCTCCCTACTCCCCTTTTTAACCCCCTTTTTTTCTCCTTCCTTTCATCCCACTGGGATTTTCTTTAATAAGTAAAAAAATAAATAAATAAATAAATTGAAAATCAATTTTATCGTTTCGTTACCCCCCTCTCGCGTGCGTGTGTTTGTTGTACAAATAATAAAACATTTTCTTTTTACCCCGTTAAATCCGCTCCTCCCCGTTCAAAAAAAAAAAAAGAAAAAAAATCGAAAAATAAATGGCGCGATTATTAATTAATTATTAATTAATTACGAATCGTATAAAAATAATTATCGACACAAATTGGGAGGGGTCGATTCGTTCCCCTCCTCCTCCTCCTCCTCTCCTCCTGCCCCTCCCCCCGAAAACGTAATCGTTTTTTTATTATGATTTATTTATTAATTATAAGTTTTTTTTTTTTTTGATTAATCGATTTTCACGATGACGCTCGCGCGAATCCATGATGATGATGTAAGTTAAAACCGGAAGTTTAGTTTATTGTTTTCACCAATTATTTCGTCTGCTGTTGTTGGTGAAAGCATTATCATTATTATTATTTGAAAAATTATTTAATTAACCAATCAATTTTTTTTTTTTTGAAAAATAATAAAAAAAATTATTACACTCGTTTCTTTTGAAAGTGCAAAGGGATATAATTAAGTTTTTTTCTTAGTGTCGTCTGATTTAACTGAACAATTTTAATTATCGAATCATTCGTAATTAAATTTTCTTCTGCTTTATAAAAATTTTTCTTTACTTTCTTTACTTTCTTTCTCTTTCTTTTTATTTATTTAAGGAAAAAAAAGTAAAAAAAAGAAAGATGAAGACAGTCGTCGTCGTCGTTTTAAAAAAAAAAGAAAATTAACTCGCTGTTGTCTCAAACAATAATTCAAAAAAGAAAAAAAAAGAAATAAATTAAGAGAAAATTTCCAACAGAGATGAAATGCAGCAGCAGCAGGAGCAGCATCTCTCCTCTCCTTCTTCCCTCCCCTTCCTTCCCCTCCCTCCCCTCGAGATTTTTTTAAAACGCATTTAAAAAAAAATGTTAAAAGTTGTAATAAAAACAAAAAAACAAACTCGATGGAAAAAAATAAATAATAATAATAATAATAATAATAATAATAATAATAATAATAATAATTTTTATTAATTAATTAAACGGTTCGTCGCGATTAATAATAATAATAATAATAATCATTTGTAAAAAAAGTTTTTTTTTTTTAATAATAATTTGAAACATGGAAAAGCGAGAAGAAAATTTAACAGACTAATTATTCTATTGTTATTAACCGAGTAAAATAATTATCACGGTAATAATTCATATAGGTAAATCTTTCTAGCAGACGACGATTAATAATAATTGTTTAAACTTATAATAAAAAGTTTTTGTTGAAAAAATAAACAAATGAAAGGATGCGAATTGAATGAATGAATGAATGAATGGATGGATGGATTGAAAGTTTTTTGTTTTGATTGTTATTTATAAATGAATTTGTATAAAATTAAATGACAAAACTTTCGATTTGTTTATTATTTTTTAAAAAGCGAATTGTTTACGTTTGTTTGTTTGTTTGTTTGTTTCAGAGGATGAAGTAAATATAACATTTTACGAACCGGAATTAGGTTATAACGGAAACCTAACAGCAATGGTTACATCCGATCATTTTAATTTAACGTTGCAACACCTGATTTATAACAAAGTGATAACGTCGTTTAGTTCGACAACCGCAACAACAACCACAACTTCATCATCATTATCATCATCATCAACAACCACTCTATCGTCGTTTTTATCATCGATCAAATCGAAAACTTCATCCGCCGTAATAACATTAAGACCCCCGGTTAAATTTCCAGTTTTACCACATTATCATCACGGTCCTAGATGGGGTCCATATTTCGAAGAAGAAACGGATAAGCAAAATGTTACCGTGAGAGTTGGTACCACTGTACAACTAGATTGTAAAATAGGAATGCTACAAGATAAAATGGTGAGTTTATTCTTTTTAAATTTATTCTTCCGCCATCTTTTTTTTTTTTTTATTCCCCCCATATGTATCGATTCGAGTTAATACAATCGAAAAATACGGTTTTCGATATTCATTTCGAAATTTTAATATTAAATACTTTCGAAAAGTTTTAAAAGGTGCGTAAATAAATAAATAAAAAAAAAACTTTTATGTAAAAAAAAAAAGTTATAAAGAACTTAAAATAAATTATGAAAAAAATGTTTTGCGCAAATAATAAACGATGTGCTATGAAACATTTTAATGGCTCACAAAAAAAAAAAAAATGGCGGAACACTTTTTAAATTTATATAAATTCCCACGAAACGATTTTATCATTATCATTATTTTCTGAAATTTAAACGTTATATATATTTATTTAATACTTACTCGCACGCACACTCGAACGAACTGCATAATAATAATAATACTTACGGTAATAAAAAAAAATTTTTTTTTCTTGTTTGAATTTTCAAGGTGATTTAAATAATAATAATTATTAAATTTATTATTTTTTTTATTAAAATGATAATGATAATTGATAGTAGAATAATTAACAATGTCGCCCTTACTATTAATCGGTTCTCACTTTAAAAAATAAAACGCCTGTGGGAGAAAGAGAAAAAAAATTATTATTACGTAATAAATAAAATTTTTTTTTTTGGAAAATTGTTTGACTTACTCGTCGGTGGGATTTTCACGGTTAACGGTTCGTTAATTGATATCTCGAACGGTTTTAAAGCACCGAACACTTCGGTGAACGTGTATTTCCACGATGGATCCAATCCTAATCTTTTTAGTGGAATCGATACGTAATATGGAGCACCATCGATTCTTTTACTTAAAACGGCCAATGCCCAAACGTTTGTTTTCGGTGCAATCGGATCTAAGGGTTTTGTCCAAACTTCTATTTGTTTATACTTGAAAAACAAAAACAAATAATTAAAAATTTTTTGGAAAATTATCCGTATAATTAAATTTTTTTTAAAAAAAAACTTGCTCTGTATTTTCTCTTTCCGGATATTCCCAATTCGTGTTGATTTATTTCAATTGCATCTTTATTTAATAATATTTCTTTAAATTCCGGTCTTATGTTTCTTAAATCGTTTGACATTATCAATGGCGCTGATAATATTGACCATATCGCCATTTGTGCTTTTGCTTGTGAATAACTTAAACCGTAATTACCGATGATTAACTGAAATTAAAATTTTCATTAACTTTTGATTTCATAAAAAAAAAATTTCACGTTTGTTACCATGTCCGGATCGTTCCAGTGTCCCGGTCCTGAATATTTTCCAATAAGTTCTTGTCTATCACCGAAATAATTAATTATGCTAACAACACTGTTCCAACTATCTTCTATATCGTCGTAATTTCTCCAAAGATTACAATGTTTCGATATTAGAGTAAAATTCGGCTGGAAAATTTGCGTTTTATTAAAAAAAAAAAAATTCGAAACGTTTATCACGTCGATAAGTATTTAAATTTACCGCCATTCCTACGAGTTCTTGATAAAATGGCCAACTGCACGAATATACCATCGGTCTTCGCGTATTTAAAAGACTTTTTCCAAATTCTATGTAACCCTCGTCCATGTCGAAAGGTTCGGAATAACAACCGTCCAATTTAACGTAATCCACATCCCATGATTTAAATAATTCTGCATCTTTTTCCAAATGTCCTATAATTCCAGGATATCCGCCGCATGTTTTCGTACCGTAATCTTCGTATATGCCAAATTTTAAACCTTTCGAATGAATCTGAAAAGTAGGAGGAAAAACATATTTTTATTTTCCCATCCATGTTTAAAAGGCAAAACGTTAATTTAAAATAATTAAAATAGGAAAAATAAAATGAAAAGAAAACAAAAAATGGGGAGAAACGAGGAAGGAGAGTGGGGAGAAGGGAAAAAAATTAAAATTTAAAAGCACAACAAACAAACCATTAGACGTTAAAGAAAGGAAAGGAAATAGGGCACAATAGCAGCAACAGCAACAAAAAGGATAATGTCGAAAAGGGGGAAAAAAATTTTGTTTTTACATAATCAGAAAGATTTTTCATTCCGCTTGGAAAACGTTGTCTATCTTCTTTTAATTTTCCATCGGAGCCTCTTTCTCTTTCTAACCAACAATCGTCGATAATTAAATATTCGTAACCGGCATTCAAATACCCATCCGATGACATTCTATCCGCCATTTCTCTCAATAATTTTTCGCTGCAAAAAAATAATAATAAAAGATCAATTTCACGGGGGGTTAGTGGGGGTAACGGCATGCTGGGGGAAAGGGTTAAAGACGAAAAAAAAAAAAAAACTCGCACGATAAACAATTTTAATTTATTAAAAAAAAGAAAAAAAAATGAAAAATTTTCTTGCTTAACTTTGAATTTTACAACGTTGAATAATTTTACACCGTAGTAATTAAAAGAAATAATTATTTTTCGATAAAAAAAAAAAATTTTCCCAAAGGTCAAAAGGTTAAATATTTTCCTTTTTTTTACTCCTTTTTTTAAAAAAAAAAATTTAAATTTAAAAAGAGGAAAATAAAAATTTTTTTTTTTTTTAGATAAAAGTTTCTTTCAATCATTCAAATTCATTAACCTTAATTTTTTTATTTCTTAATTCGCTCCTGCTCAATTTCTTCCTCCCCCTCTCCCCGTTTAATTCACTCGTAATTTAATTCTAGTAATAAAAAATTAATTTGATCATCTATTTTAAAGTTTTTTTCTCCCCATTAATTATAAGGATAAGAATTAAAAACGTTTTTAACTAACGTTTGTTTTTGTTTTTCTTCTTCTTCCCCCCGCATTCCCCCCCGATTCTCCCCCCGTTCCTTATCATTTATTTCTCTTTTACCTCTTTTCCCCCTTTGGAAAAAAAAAATGTTTTAAATGAAAATGATACTACCTTAAACAATCATCCGGAAACAATGTGCAATTTGTTAAGCATCTAAATCTTTCCCAAGACATCCAACCCATTGGTGGCGTTTTTGCAAGTCCATTATCTAATTCCACGCTAAAACCGATAACCGTTAATATAACTAAAACTTGATATAAAAATTTCATATCGTCGTCGTGGTTGTAGTTGTCGTTGTTGTCGTCGTCGACTGTTAAACGCAAACTAAACTCAACAAACCTTCTTTTTTACTATTTATTTATTTAATAATTTTTTTTTTCGTCTTCTTCTTCAACACTTTAAATAAACTTGAGCTATAAATTATTATCCTGGGGGGGAGAAGTGGAAGAAAGAGAGGGAGGGAGGATAGGGGAAACGAGGGAGGGGGGAAAAAAACGAAACAACCGACCCAACATATCGATAATCGGTAAATTTATCATTCATACAAACGATTATTTCACGCGCGCGTTTGTTCGGTAAAAAAAAAAATTTTTTTTTTTTTTTTATTGAATTTATATGTCATACGGGATATTTAAATCGTACGGGGGAAAATAAATTTTGTCCTTTTTTTTTTCGGGGAGGGAGGGACGGGAGGAACGGAAGGAAAGGGAGGCGTAAGGGAGGCGTAAGGGAAAACGGGAAAGGAAATGGGAAATTTTAAAATTCGTCGTGGGTTCGTGCGTGAGAGATTTGCGTTTATTTACGCAATTTTTGTCTTTTTTTTTTAAATTTACGTTTTGTTGTGCGACTCGGGACACGCACGCACTCACGCACCCACGCACGCACGCACTTAAATTCCGTTGCGAAAATTTTATTTATTCGAAACAGAAACAAATTTTTTTTATAAATGAAAGGAAATAAAAATCAATATGTCTGACTGACTGTTTAAAAAAAATTTTTTTTTTTTGGAAGGGGGGATAAAAGAAGCAGAAGAAAAATGAAGAGGACCTTACAAAAAAAAATCGTAAACCGAAATTTCCTTCCTCCCTCCTTCCCCTCTCCGCTCCCTCCAAAAAAAAAAAAATCCCTTTATGCTCTTTTCTGACGTCGTGACGTCATTTAAAAAAAGAAAAGAAATTTTATTTTTATTTTTATTATTATTATTTTTTTTATATATATACAATTTTATTAATAAATTTTTGTACTTGGCGTGCGTGTGTGCGTGAGAAAGAGTGTGTAATAACAACGCCATTTTGTTTTTTTTAGTTTTTGAAAAATTAAAAATATATTTATAATAAAAAAAAAAAAAAAAATTTTTTCGTGTATAAATACAATTATTACGTTTTGAAATGTTAACACATGTAATAACAAACTGCATTGTTAAAAGAAAAAGAGATAGAGAGATAGAGAAAGAGAAAGAGGAAGAGAGAAAGAGAAATTTCCAGAATCTTTTTTTTATTCTGGTTTCGAATAAGATGTAATTTAAAACTTTTCGAAACGTTTGCAATAAAAAAATTTTTTTTTTTTTTTTTTACGAATTACTTAACGAATCACTGTAGAGAAGAAATACATTTTGATAAAAAAAAAACGAACAAACAAACAAACAAACAAGCAAGGAATACTTGTTTGTTAGTTTGTTTTTTTTTTTTTTTTCATAAAAACTCGAACTTATCAATAGTTTTAAATTTTTCACACGGTTTTTTACGACTGATAACAACAGCTTTGTAAACTTTGACACCTGAAATAAGAAAAAAATAATAATGATAATGATAAAAACGACAGGAAATAAATAAATAATTTTTTTTTTAATCGTTTGTTTTGTTTGTTTGTTTGTTTGTATCATCCCAACATATTTTACACCGGTCGTTACTGTTAGGTATTTAATTTAAACAAAAAAAAAAAACCGTTAAAAAATTTTGTTGAAAAAAATGCACGAATACGTAAAACGAGTTTTTTTTTTAATAAAAATTATTATTATTATTATTATTATTATCATCATCATCATTATTATTATTTTGTATTAGATTTTCGATAAAATTTCAAGTTTAAAACGTTATTATTAATATCGTTGTAATTATCGTTAAACGTAAAAAAAAAGAAACATGGCGGCAACGTTTTTTTTTTTTTTTTAGCACAATGAATATAGTTAAAAATTTCGTCTCGAAATATAATGAAAAGAAAATGTCAGATAAATATACCCCCCGAGGTCAAAGGTCAATTATTTTTTAAAATAAGAATGAAGTAAAAGATTTTTAAAGAATAATAATAATGAAAGTTCGGAGGCTGACGCAAAAAAAAAAAAAAAAAAAAAATTATTTTTAGCTGAATATTAATATATAATTTATGTTAAACGCGTTGTTTGTTGTTGTTGTTGTTGTTGTTGTTGCACCTTAAAAAAATAATAAAAAATTTGTTTGACGTATAAATAAGGTTAAAAAGTTATTTAAAAATGAATTGGAAGAAAATGATGACGATGATGATGATTGATTAAAAAAAAAAGAAAATTTTTTTGTGGTTGTCGTTGCTGTTATTGTTGCGGTTGTTTTTTTTAAAAATTCACTTTAAGAAAAAAAATTTAAAAAAATCCTTTGTGGGTTTTTCTCGCCTCCCCCCTACACTCCTGTCGTTTTTTTCCCCCTCCCTTTTTTTGAAATGCATTTTTGATACTCAACAACACCGAAACTGTTACCGCAACTAAGCTATGGGTGTGGTATTCCTACTTCTGCTTCTGCTCCTGTTGTTTATCCTTCTTTTAGTTTTTCATGTTCTCGTCAGTTACAAATTTTATCGCTTGGGAAGGGGAAGGGGGAGGTGGGAAAATGGGGGTTTCATTAAAATTTATATTTCGGTCAAAATATCAAAACGTAAAATGTAATTATCAATCTTTATTCTTGTTCATTTCAACTGACACTTTTGTTTTTTTTTTGTCGGGTCTTTAGAAATTTTTTTGGTAATTAACAACAATCCTTTTTAGCGATATCGATTTTATCCCTTTGTCTGATAAATGCTTCTTTCATTTCCGCCCCCTTCCCTCTCCCCCTCCCTCCCCGCCGAACGGCTAAGTACGATTTAATTTTCCAACAGTTTTCTGTTGCTGTTGTTTTTATTGTTTCCCAAAATAAAAAAAAACTTACAATCATTTATTCTTTAATATCCGAATTTTTCTGTTGAAGATTTTTTAAATTTTACAAAAAAAAAAAAAAACGTTTAATAGAATTCTAAAGACACGACAATAATAATAATAAAACAACAAAAAAGTTTTCTTAAAAAAGAAAAAAAAGAAAAAATTTTTTTATTTTCCTCAACAAATTAATGTTTTCTTCATTTAAATTTTTTTTTTTTTTTTTTTTTTGTAACGATGATAAAGATGATGATGATGATGATGATGATAATAATAATAAAAATTTACCCAAGGGTGGTATTCTCGTGACTAATTCACGTTTATTTGTAAATTCAATGACTTCATCCGGTTCCAAAACGTTTTCTATATCGTAACAACGAAATTTTCCTCTTAATTTTGTATATTTCAATGGGAAAACAACCGTTGACGGTTCTCCTTCGTCGTTTACATTTAAAAGAGCGATAATCCATGAAAATATATTGCATTCGACAGGAACAACAGCTTTTGTCCATACTTCGTATTTTTTCTTTTTGTCCTGAAACGCGAAAATAAAATATCATCATCATCATCATTATTATTATTCGTAACTACGCGTACTAGGAAATGATAAAAAAATACGTACGATAAATATTCTTCTTCCCTGTATTCCAAGGGGATCTTGATTAATACTAATAAGGGCCGTATTAAGTAAAATGTTACGAAAATTAGGATGAGCGTTTCTCAAGTCGTGAGACATAATTAAAGGAGCCGAAAGTATCGACCATATAACCATTTGAACTTTTGCTTGTTCGTAACTCAAACCGAAATTACCAATTATTAACTGTATTTAAAAATATTATTATTATTATTATTATTATATTTAATATACCTTAAACAGGTTTATCGCGTTGTGATACAAAAAACGCGGTTGTTGTTGTTGTTTTTGAATTTTTTTTTTCGTTTACTTCATTCGCGATGTTTTAATAATTTTTTTTTTTTTTTTTTTTTAGGACGATTAACTGTTATTTTAAATAAATTAATGATTTTTTCAAACAATAAAATTTTCTCCTGCCACGTTCGTTTTTAAATTCGTTTAATGAATTTAAATTTTTTTTTTGGTCCGAACGCAAAAAAAATTAACTGCGTGTGTGTGTGAGAGAGAAAAAGAGAAAAAAGGTTTTTACGTAATTTATATAAAACATAATAATAATAATAATAAAAAGAAAAATTATTTCCGGGTGAGTTTAAAGTTTAATTTTGCGTTTTTTTTTTTTTAATTATGTTATCCGCGCACGCACACGCACTCACGCACCCACCCACCCATTCACATAATAATTTCAGTCACGAAAAATCAAGTGCGATCTCTATTTTTTTTTAAATTCAAAAGGTTTTTTTTTTTACCTTTTTTTCATTTCCAACCTCTCGTCTCTATTATCATTATTATTATTATCATTATTATTATTTTACCCGGAAATAACAAAAAACAAAAATATATATTCGCTTTGATGTGGAAATAAAAACCTAAAAGTAAATTTTTTTAAATAAATAAAGAAAGAAAAAAAGGATTATTTAAGTTTGACGTGGAAGAAGAATGCAAAAAAAAAAAAAAATTATACATCCGATTAGTAATGGAAATATCGAGGGAAAAAGTAAAAAAAAAAAAAAAAAAAAAATTTTTCACGGATCATTTCATGATTTATAATAATGATAATAATGAAATTCAATTACGTATTTTTTTTCCGTATTCCTGGAGAAAATTTTTTTTTACTGGAATTTTTTTATACGTTTACGTAACGGGAAAATTTTTTTTTTGTTCGATGATAATAAAAAAGAAAACGTTACGTAATGATTTTGTGATTGTTGAACTTACAGAATCTGGATCGTTCCAGTGTCCAGGTCCTCCAAAATTAGAAAAAATATCTTGAAATTCTCCAAAATAAGTAATAACATCTCTAACGCTGCTCCAAGAATCTTGTATATCTTTATAAACTCTCCAGGAATTACAAACTTTTGCTGCTAGGGTGTAATTCGGCTAATAAAATAATAATAATAAGTTAAATATATTTTTACCGGAAACGGAAATAGTTAAATAATAAAATGAATTAATTTACCGAAATTCCCATATAATTTTGATAAATCGGCCAACTGCATGCGTATACCATAGGCCTACCCATTTTCCACATCCAATAACCGAAATTGATAAAACCCAATTCCATGTCGAGGGGATCCGTAAAACATCCGTCAAGTTTAATAAAATCGACTCCCCATTCAACAAACGTTTTCGCATCTGTCGCCATGTTTATTTCTAACGTTCCCGGATAACCTTCGCATGTTTTCTTACCGTAATCCGCATATATGCCAAATTTTAATCCTTTCTCGTGAATCTGTTTAAACAAAACTAACAAAAACCTTATAAATATCTCCAGAATTTTTTTCTTATTTTTTTTTTTTCAACCGGAATATTAAAAAATTCGATATGAAAAAATTTTCTTTACGTAATCAGATAAATTTTTTAAACCGCTTGGAAATCTTTGCGCATCCGGTGTCAGACGATTGTTCTTGTCACGTCTTTTAGACATCCAACAATCGTCTATCAATATGTACTGATAACCCGCTGATAGATAACCGTCCTCCAACATTTTATCGGCCATGTCTCGAAACAACCATTCACTGTAATTATTATTATTATTATTAATAATTATAAAAGGAAAATTTTTTGTTTCTGGAACGATTTCACATTTTCATTAATAAACTAATTCAAAATGGCGTACGAGTGTTGTCGAATGAAAAAATAATAATAATAATATTAATGACAATGATAATTTTTCAAAAAGATTTTTCAATGTTTAAAAAGAATAAAAGAGTGAGAGAGAGAGAGAGAGAGAGATTTAATATAGACACACACACACACAGCAGAAGCAATAACAACAGCAACAACAGCAACAACAACAACAACAACAGCGAAATTTCGAGGTAATTTATGTTTTATTCTAATAAAGAAAATTTTCTGGAAAATAAATTTGGGTGTGGTTGAGGTTTTTCATTGCAAACGCCATTGCGAGTGTGAAAACAAAAAAATTACGCTTTTAAAAAAAATTTAATTTTTTTTTTTTCTTTTACATTTCATTTCGATCATTAACGTTAAAACGCGCGTACGTACGCACCCTCCCTCACGCGCTTCCCTACGCATGTTTTTTTTAATTAATTAAAAGAAATGCGAAAACAAACGAGAACAAACAAGAGGGAAAAAACGAATTCGAGGCTATTTTAAAAATCACATATAAAAATTTCAATTTAATAATTACGTGCGTGCGTGCGTGCGTGTACGCGTGCGTTTTTTCTCTTTATTTAAAGATTTTATTAATTTTTTTAAAAACCGGATGTACGGTATAAAACATTAAATAAATTTTATCCGTTTAAAAAAAAAAATCAATTAATTAAGTTAATTAATTTATAAATAAATAGAAAAAAAAACGCGCGTTTAAAAATTTATTATTATTATTATTATTATTAATGAAGAGAAGAAGAAGAAGAAGCAGAAGAAAAAAAAATAATAATAATAAATTTAAAAAAAAAAAAAAAAAAACGATTTTAGAGAAATTTCTTACTATATGGAAGTAACGGAATAGTGAACTTTGGTTTAAAACCAAATCCGTTTCCGTTTTACATTTTATGTTACTTTTTTTTTTCAAAGGAGGGAGGAAGAGAGAGAACGGGGGGAGGAGGAAGTAGGGAGAGGAAGGAAGTGGGGGAAAAGAAGGTACGACGTAGTGTAAATTTACCTAAAACAAAAAAAAAAAGAGAAATTCTTTTATTTCGTTTACGCTTTGAGAACATTCAAACGGATATCCGGTTTTTCCCTTTTTCGGTCATTAAAATAAATAATAATTTTATTTTTTTGGGGGGGAGGGAGGAGAAGAAAAAAAGGGAAAGTTTGTTCATTTATATTTTATTACCAAATCCCTTCCCTGCCCTCTCCCCTCTTCCCATTCGTTTTTGTCATCTCTTTTCCTTCTTCTTCCACGTCGTTTTTAAATTAATTTTTTTTTTCTAATACTCCGCGAGGGGATCTTAAATTTTTTCGTTTCGAAATCGATTTAAAATTTTTAAAAAATTGGGGGGGGGGGCGGGAGTGATAAGAAATTTTCGTTATCATCAATTTCGTGATAAGATGTTTGTATGTAAATAATAATGATAATAAAATAAAATTTAAAATAAAATACAAAACCTGATACATTCTTTCGGAAAATTTTTACAATCCGTGTTGCAACGAAATCTATTCCATGCCGACCAACCCATCGGCGGTGTTAATGCCAAATTATTGTTCAGACATCCGGAAAATGTAGTCAAATAATAATTAATTGCAAATAATGTTAAACGAAAATTAAATATTTTCATTTGAATTATATATAAATAATAATAATAATAATAATAATAATATTTGACGTTATGAAAACATTAAATCGAACCTTAAAAAAAAAAAATAGAAAAATAAATAAGTTGAACGTGGTTTTAAAATTTGGAAAATTGTTTCCATAATTTCCTACCTGTCATCATGGCGATAATATTTATTTTATCGAATGAAATTATCACTCGATAAAATAATAATAATAATAATTCAACGGAGCGGGAAGGGGAAAGTATTGCAAAAGGGGAAAGAAAATAAAAAAATAAAAAAAAATTTAAAACAATGTAAATAAATAATTATACTCGAAGTAATTCGTTACTATTACACTACTATTGATATTTACATTAAAAATCAAAATGGCGACGGATTTTTGTTTTTTTTTCTCTAAACAAATTTGATTTATTTGAATTTGGAATTATGGAACGAAGAAGAAAATTAAATGCGTAAAAATTACGCATAAATCACATGCCATTCTATCTTTCTCTCGCACGCACGCATATATGCATGTATTGCATTTATTAATTAATTAAAAATCTTGAAGTTTTATTAATGATTTATTAATTAATTAATTTTTTGTTGTTTCCTCCACCTCCCTCCACACACACACACGCCTCCCCGTGAAAAAATTTTCTTCTCTTTCTCCCCTTAAAAAAAAAAAAAACAAAATGGGAGGAGGGGAAGTTTCGTATCGTTTTATTTTATAAAAGCTATTAAATTTTTTGTTGTAGCGAAAAAAAAAATCCGATTTTTTTTTTTCGGTCGGGGGGAAAAGGGGGGGTTGGGGTCGGTTTACCTGGTTCGGATGATTCCGTTTACCGAAATGAATTATAACATTTGGAGTTTTAATAAATAAAAAAAAAAAAAAAAGAAGGAATTTCGTTGTTGTAGTGAAATATTTTCGTTGGATTCGAATTACTAAAAAAAAAAATGGGAAGGGAGGAGGTAGGGGGAGAAAGAGAGTAAAAAAATTGGCGTTTGTTTTTTTTTTTTTACCGAGGGGGCGAGGAGAAAGAGAGGGGGCAAGTTAAAAGAGAGAACATTAAAATATACGTTTTATTTCGCGTCGTCTTTATTGATTGTAATTTAATTTTTTTTAATTACGTTTTTTTTTTTTTGAACAAGGAAGAGGGGAAGACGGAGATCGTGTTAATATTAAATTTTTTTTTGTGGCAACCCTCCCCCCCCACTTCCCGAAAAAATAAAAATTAGCATGCTGTCGTCGACAAAAAATTTATTAAAAAAAAAAAAAATTTCGTGTGTGTGTGTGTGTTATTTAAACGTGTGGTGGATTCATTTATTTAAAAATAAAAAACAATTTTTTTTTGGGGAGGCGGTGTGTGTGTGCGGGAAGAGTGGGGGGATTCACACGTAATGTTTATTTTTAATCGAAAAAAAAAAAACAAAAATTTTATTATATATATTTTGTTTTTGAAACTTTTATTTTTTGCAACCTTTTTTTTACACCTCCCCTCCCCACTTTTCATTTTTCAACACCACCTGTCGCCTCATAAACTTTGTCAAATTTTTTTTTTTTTTTTTTTTGCACGAAAAGAAACTATTTATTATTGAGAGAGAAAGAAAGATAGAGAGAGAAAGAAAAGGATAAAATCTTTTACTTTTCAACACTTTTAAATAAAGAAATAATTTCTGTTGAGGAAAAAAAAAAAATACATAAACCTTTTTTCGAAACCCCCCCTCCTCCCCGCCGACGGTAATAAATTTTTTTTTTTTTTTTTATTAATAATAAAAATTTTCATTTGAAAACGATCGGATTCGTTTTTTTTTCCTGTGCGCGTATTTAAAAATGCATAAAAAAAGGGAAAAGAGGGTAAAAAAGTACAAAAAAAAGACAAAAAAGGGTAAAAAGGGCAAAAAAAGGGTAAAAATCGGTTGTAAGTATAAAAATAATAAACATAAAAACCGAAAAAAAAAAAAACGACTGGCAAATGCCAAAAAGCTTTTTACCTACAGCAACAACAACAACAACAGCAACGGGAAAAAAAAAAGAAAACAAAAGAAAGAAAAAAAAAAAAAACAAAAAAAAATATTTACTTTACTAGAAATTTCTAGATTTTTTTCCACGAACCGAAAAATTTTCACATTGATAATAATAATAATAATAATAATAATAACTATCAAAATCCATTTGTTCTTTTTCTTAGATAAAAAAAAATATATATATAACCGAATACTTTTTTAGTTTACTGGATTTTTTTTTTGTTTAAAGTTTCATAATAATAATAATAATTAAATTTCGACTAGATATATATATATTTCAAATTAATTTATTTTACTTATTTATTTGTTTTTACAAAAAAAAAAACAAAAACAAAAAACAAAAAGAAAATTTCTTCTGCTTCTGAATTTAATTTCACATAAAAATTATTTTCTTGTGTGTATTTTACAAAAGAAAAAATTTAACCCGAGGCAAATATTCATCTTACATCATCATCATCATATCTTATTTAAAAAAAAAAAAAAAACGTTGCCATTTTTATTTTCTCCACACCCCCTCCTCTCCCATTTTTTCTCCTCCTCCTCCTCCTCCAATACCTAATCTCCTTCGCTTTGTTTTTCTCCACCCCCTCTTTATTTCTCCTCCAATACCTAATCTCCTTTTGATTTTTTCCCCTTCCTCTCACTCAATTCGTATCTCTTGATTTCCCCTTAACTTTGACTCCGCCCCTTTTTTTCTCCTCTTTATAATTTCCCCTCGTTATTTTTTCCCCTCGGCGTTTGTGTCGGTAGTCGATTTTCTTTTTTCTTTTTATTAAATAAAATAGATTTCATGTCATCGTTAAAAGAAAAAAAAAGAAAATTTTTTTTAATTTAAAAATTTAATGGAGGTTTTCTCAATTATGGTGTCTGGAAAAATAAAAACACGTCGGTGGAAAACTTTTAACCCTTTTTCCCTCCCCCCCCACTGCAATTTTCGCAATCATTATTCTTTTGTTTAAGTTTTTTTTTTTTTTTTTAACAATGTTTAATTAATATATTTCAAATTTTCTTTTTCTCTCTCTCTCTTTTGTTTTTTCTTTTTTTTCAAAGAAAAAAAGAAAGAAAAGTTTTTTCTTTTACTCTTTTTATTTATTTATTAAATTTTTCTTATTTTTTGTTGTTATGAAAACAATTAAAAAAGTTTTACAGGTAAATTTTTAAATTTTTTTTTTGGGGGGTGGGAGCGCGAGATGCACGCGCGCGCGTGTGTGCGCGTAAATGCGTGAGTAAAAACATTTAAAAAAAACTCACGGAAAATTTTTTTTTTTTAAATAAATAATAATAATAATTCTGGATAAGATATAGAATGTAATGAGTTAGGAGAAAAAAGGTAAAGGGGAGGGGGGAAAATTTTTTTTTTGCGAAAACCTGATGACGTAGATATCATTTTAACTTTTGCTGGAGTTTTTTTTTATCTGCCAAAAGAAAAAGATGAATGGTTTTCCTCTGGAGCCAAAAAAAAAAAAAAAAATTATATATATATATATTTTTTTTTATTCGCTTCATGAAAATTTGTTTCGTGGTGGGTGGAGAAGGGAGCGAGGGAGAGAAGAGGGGAAAAAGATGAAGAAGCTCCCTTTGCGAGGGGGAAACAATTTTTGTTGACGTTTTCTTCTTCTTTTTCTCGCCCGAAATTGCGGTTACTCTTAGAGGTTGACTAGGTGAAAGAATAAAATTAATTAAAGTTTTTCCTAATTAATAAATATATATATATATAATTTTCAATTAATTATATAAATAAAATTTGAGGGATCCCCGGATCTCTCATATCATGCGGTTATATATAAATAAAAAGGAAAAAAATAAAGATCTCTAAAGAAAGTTGAAAACAAAAAATTTTCCCGTTTTTTTCAAGAAAAGTCTTTAATAGAAAAGTTTTTATTATAACTTTTTACGCTTAATTTCCTGTTACAATTTAAAAAAATCTTTTTTCACAAACAATTTTAGGTAATGAAAAAATCACTTTGATGAAAAACAAACCAACTTTAAACTTTCCCCCCCCTTTTTCCTTTTCTCTCCTTTTATTTTCCTTACAATTTTTTTTCCTTTTCGGTAAATAAAAGTAAATTCATGTGAAAAACAAAAAAAAAAAACTCACAATAGAAAATTTTTTACGAATAAAGGAAAATTTTGATTTTTGACAAAATAATAATAATAATAATAATACGAGGAAAATGGTTGCTGTTTTTGTTTTTTCACTTTTCCAAGAATCGAATTTAGAACTTATTAAAATCCTTTACGATGATAATAATGATAATAAAAACATGTTTTCGATTTTGGGATATAATTTAAAAATAATTAAAGAGAGAAAGGAAAAGGTGGGAGTGAGATGGAGGAGGGGGAGGGGGGGAGAGAAAAAAAGGTTCTTTTCATAAAATTAAAAAAAATTATTTTTTTCCTTCCGTGGAAAGATTTTAAAATTATTTTATTTTGTTCTTCGTTGCTATTTTTTTGTTTTTTTTTTTATTTATTTATAAAATTTCATCATCATCATCATTATTTTCTCTTTGTTTTTACTTCAACAACAACTTTTAACAGTTCCCTGTCATCGTTACATTGTTTAAAAAAAAATGCATGCATATATATAAAAAGTAAATTAATTTTTTTGGTTTTTTTTTTTTTTTACTGTCTTCTGCTGTTTTTTATTTTTTTTTAATTTTTCTTTTTTGTCGCGAATAACAAAATTTATGTGCGTGTAAAAAAAAAAAAATTTTCTTTCATAATTTTAAGAAAAGAAAAAAAAGAAAAAGAAGAAGAAGCGAAAATTTCCCGGTTTTTCTTTTTTTCTCGCGAGCTAAAAAATGTATGGAGGGCAAGCTCAGGGTTTATCCATTAATAATTCATAACTTAATTTAAATAAAATATTTAATTTTTTTTTTTTTTGTGTGTGACTCGATAATAATAATAATAATAATGATAATGATAACGATAATAAATAAATATAAAATTTTTATGTTAATAATTAAAAAAAAAAAAAAAAATGACGTGGGTGTGAAGGAAAAATATTCCAATTTTTTTTCTTTTTTTTAAATAATAATGTAAAGGAAAAAGAAAGTGGAAGCAGAATAAAAAATATATGTTTTTATATATGTATGTATGTATAAATGAAGAAGAGGAAAAAGGAAAATTTTTTCGAGCCAAAATATAAAAAAAAAAAAAGGAAAAAAAAAAAAGGTTTGGCTTAATATCAAAAAATCCGTGGAGTCACCATCATAGAGCATTATATTGTTTGATTCTATTCCATAAAACAACCTCCTGGCCGTGGTCTGTCTCTGCCAGATTTCCCCCTGCCCCCTACCTAACCCCTCCCTCTTATTCTTCTTCGTTATTCCAGGAGTTTTTTTTTTTTTTTTTACGGAAAAATGTTTTTTTTTTTTAAAAACAAAAAAATTCTACCGTTTAACTTTGTTGAATGAATTACTACCGTGGTTTTAGTCTAAAAAAAAAAAAAATGGGGGAGAGGGGAGGGGAAGGAAAGGGAGAGAAAAAAGTTTTCTGGCATTTTCCACGATGGAAACTAGAAAAAAAAAAATTTCGGTTTGCTTTAATTATTTTTCTATTGTAAAAGTGGATTTAGTTGATTGTTTACCGGAAATAATTCCTAACGGTTAGTAAAACATCGACCTGTCGAGATGATAATAATAATAATAATTCTATTTCCGGTTAATGACAAAATTAAAACAAGTAAAAAGGTAGTAAAACGTTAAAATTTCTTCACTGGAAAATTCGTCGTGAATTTTTGAAAGGGAAAAAGAAAAGAAATCCGAATCCGGTTACAACGACAGCGGTATTCGGTGGGCAGAGGAAAAACCGGAAATGATCCTGAAAAACAAGTTAAAAATACTCGTACTTGAAATTTAATTGAAATTGTTTTTGTGTTAAAATGAAAAACGGAAATGATTCAGGTCGTTGTGGGAGCTTTGGGAGTCATGCCACAACAAACATTAAAGAAAATTTTTAAAAAATAAACTGGGCGGAAAATTTTCTCACGTGGGACGATCGAAATTCTTAGAAAGATTTTCTATAAATAGCATCATCGCCATCACCGTCACCACCACCACCGCCACCGCCACTGCCACCACCATCACAACCACACCAAATATTCTCGTCCTTTCGATTATAAGTAAACGAATACCAACTTATTAAAAAATAAAAATAAAAAAAATTCCGACAAGTTACAAAACGTCTTTCATAAACCTTTCACGAGATTATTAGAGCCGTATTAATAATAATAATAAATGTACGATAATTTGGATGAACGGGGGGAGGAAAGGAGGGGGAAGGGAAAGAGAGGCAAAAGGGGGGGGCAGGAAAAAAACGTTAAACTTACTTAATCGAGTTTCACTTTCTCTTCTCAACAACTTATGACCGAATAAAATACAAAAAAAATTTTTTTTTAATATTATTTTTCCCAACCATAATTACCTATCATTAAGATCAAAACAACAACAAAAATAATAATAATAATGATAATAATAATAATGATAACAACGATTTAAAGTTCTGTTTTTTTTACACATTATTAAATTTATTCGTTAAAAAAATAAATTGCGCATAAAAATAACGAAAGAATAATAAAAAACGGTGCTTGCGCTGTTGTTGTTGTTTGTTTGTTAAAAAGTGCAACAACAATATAAATAATAATAATAATAATAATTTTCATTGTTTATTCTTTTTAAACAACAACAATGCAAAAATTGTTTTTAATTAAAAAAAAAAAAAAAATTATTTTTATTAATTAAATTTAAATAACAAAAGAAAAAAAAAATTAATAATAATTTTTTAAAAAAAGTTTTTCTTTTTCTTTTCTTTTTCTTCTGCTTTTTTATTATTATTATCATCACGATTGTTTGTGTCATACTGTGTATGTGTGTGTGTGTGTGCGCGTTATGGAAAAAAAATTTTAGTAAGAAGTGAAAAAAAAATAAATTTAACGTGTTAAAATGTGTTTATTGAAAAAAATTTTTTTTTTTTTTTATCAACAACTTAAATTACATTAAAACTATTTTTTCCCTTCTCTTTCTCTCTCTCTCTCTTTTTTTTTCTCACTAATAACATTTCGAACCTTTTTCTTTTCCTTCTTTTTTCCTTTTTTTTTGGGGGGGGGGGGAAAGGAAGAAAAGAAAGAAGAAAAGGATCAAAGTTTTTTTTTACTTTTTCCATTAACTTTTTCTTCTTTACCTTTTTTTTTCATCTCTCTCACTCTCTCTCTTGTTCTATGTGAGAAAAAAAATAAAATAAAAGAAAGGAAAAGGAAAAAGAAAAAAGAAAAAAGGAAAAGAAAGAAAAAACGACGGTTCGGTTTTCGTCCGTGTGTACAAAAAAAAAAAAAAAAAAATTTTTTTATTTGACTTGAATTCTTTTTTCTTTTTTTGATTTTTCATTTACTTTTATTAAATTTTTTAAGCACACACGGAATTGATAAAAATAAAATAAAAATTTGTGTTTACACGTAATCAGAGAAAAATATTGAAGGGAGGAAAAGTGGGGGGAAGGTGGAGGGGGAGAGGCTAAGGGGTGAGAAGGGGAAGCAGATGAAAAGTTTTAAATAATCAAAACTGAATATGAAAAATTTTTTTTTCCTTATCATTCTACCTATCCTCCCCCCCTCTCTCTCTCTCTTTATCTTTCAAAGAAGGCAGTGTGTGTGTGTATAAATATCAGTTATAAAAAAAAGGAAAGAAAAAAATTTTTCAAAGCTTTTCCTTTTTTCCTTTTTTTTGCTATATCAAAAAAGTTTTTTATCATTTTCTTAAACATGAAAAAAAAATATTTTAAATGACAGGTTTATCGATGACTTTTGAATTTTTTCCGTTTGTTTGTTTTTTTCTTTCCGAAAAAAATGACCCGTCCCGTCTTCCCACCCCTCCCCCTCCTCTCCACCACCCTCTTTCAACCGATATTTTTTTTTTTTTTTATCTCATCATTTTTTTTTGTTTTTTTCTCGCTTTCAGTTTTAATTTTGTAAATTTTTTTTTTTTGTGAATAAATTCCATCCGTTGATAAAAATCCAGGAAAATTTTGTACTTTTTTTTTGAGGGGGGAGAGATGGGAAGAGAAGGAAGCAGACAGACAGGAATGTAAAAATAAAAATAAAAAAAATTGATTTCGAACGAATTTGACCGTCGGTCGATGGAAAAATCCAAAAAAGAAAAATTTATTTGATTTGATGGATTTAAAAAAATTCGAATAAATTTTATTTTTATCCAGGAAAAAAAAAAAAAAATTTTACGTCTTTTTTTTTTAGAAAAGTTTTACGAATTTTATGATTTATCGATTTTTTCCCTTCCCCTCCTTTCCCTTCCTTCTCCTCCGAAGGAAAACAAAACATTTAAAAATTTTTTCTTTGTTTCACTATTTTTATTATTATTATTATTACGATAATTTTTATCGCACGAAAATATAAAGTCATGAATTTTTCTAATCGACTTCATCGTTTGCCGTTTATTACGTCATCATATTTAATTACGTCACAAAACGCTTAGGAAAAAAATACGTATAGGGATAATGCAATTATTATTATTAAAAAAATTTGAGAAATTAAAAATTTTTGTATGAATATTAAATATGAAATCGATAAATTTTGGGCGTTAGTTAACACAAAGAGAGAGAATGAGATAAAGAAAGATAGAAAAAGAGAGAGATAGATTGGGGAATAAAAAAAGAAAAATTTTCAAATTTTATGTTTTGAATTCTGCCACCAAACTACTTTTACTACAACCACGTATATACGTGCTCATCATTTTCCAATTGAATTTCTGCCAACGAAATTTCTTGTTTTTTAATCACAATTTAATAATTTTTTACGAAAATATAAATAAAATAATTTTATTATTATTCTAGAATTTTCCATTCCTTTTCCTTTTTACTTTATTAACAAACAAACAAACAAACACACGTTTGAATAATTATTTCTTTCTTATAATTTTAAAACTTGGTTTCTTTAAATAAAATTTTACATCGGATATTATTTCATTATTATTATTATTATTATTATTATCATATTGTTTGTTAATTTAATGTTTATTCGTCGCGTTTTTTTCTCTTTTAGGTCACGTGGTTACATAGAAAACAAGATTCGATTCATTTATTAACGGTAGGTCGACAAGCATATAGTTCGGATCAAAGAATAACATTAAGTTTTCGTTATCCTAATAATTGGAGATTACAAATATTATTCGTTACGAGAAGAGATGCTGGAATTTACGAATGTCAAGTTGCAACACATCCTCCGAGAGTTAAAAAAGTTTATTTAACAGTTACCGGTAAGTATTTATATCTTTTATGTCTCATCCGCCATTATTAAAAATCCAAAGAAACTTGCCACCATCATAATCATCAAAAACAATCGCAGTCGCCGTTTTTCAACCCCCCCCCCCCATTTATTTTTAATAAAAATAAAACGTTATCATAACATTTTATCGAATAAAATAAAGTACCTCGTCTTTATGAAATAATATAAATTATTATTAATATTATTAATAATAAAATAAAAGAAAGGAAATGATTGATTTTTTTTTTGTTATGTTTTTAAAAATAATCGGGAATGGAAATAATTTTTTTTATTAAAATTAATTAAATAAATAAATAAAAATTTAATAACTTTAATAATTTATTAATAAATTCAATAAATTTTATAATAAAAAAGGAAAAATTAAAAAAAAAACCCGGGAAAATAATGACAGGTTTGTTTACAAACAAAATAAAAGTGTCGACGTTTCTGATTGGTCGGTTTGAAAGATGACGTCAACGATACGTCATTGAGACGTCACAGACTAACTAAACGATGACAATGTTATTTTTCCTTGATCATTATTATTTAGTATCGTTCGGTGTTATCGTGGTATTAAAAAAAAAATTTTTTTTTTTAAATTTTATCAGTTTTTTTTTTGTTTTTAAAGTTTCGAAACGCATAAAATAAGAAAGTGTTTTTTTTTATTAAATGTTTTAAAACAAAATAGAGTTTAAAATTTTTAAAAAGTTTTATAAAAGAAAAAAACCTTCAAGGTATTTATTCATACGATTACATTTTTCGTTAACTGAATTATTGAAATTTAGTTTAAAAACATTTATTTAAATTTAAATTATAACTCTTTTTAATTCGTGCCTTTTTTTCGTTAAAAAAAAATTACGGTGGTAATAATAATGAAACGTTAAAATATCTGAAAAACACATTTAAAAAAAAAAAAACGAAAACGTGCAATTTAAAAAAAAACGTTTTTATTTCCTTTCGTTTCCGCCACCTTTTTTTTCCTTTTTTCAAAATTGGAAGTGTAAACAACAGCATTTAAAAATTTTTTTTTTCTTTTTTTTTTTTTATTCATAATAAAATTTCAGGTTTAAAAAAAAAAACGCGATTATATAAAATAATAATAATAATAATTCAAAATGGAAATGTTTATCTAAAAACAATCATTAAAAAAAAAAAAAAAACCGCGCCAAAAGTATTTTATTTTTTTTTTTCAAAACGAATATTGGATTTTATTATAATAATAATGATAATAATACGATAAAACCCGTTTCTTAGTCTTTTTATTATTCTTTTTCCTACATTATTTCCACATTTTCTCCCTCCCCCCTCTTTCCGTTTCCGATTTTCCCGTTTAAATTTTTTTTTTTTTTTTTTGTGAAGTTTTAAAAATTTACATTTTGCAAAAAAATGTTTTAATTATGCGTTTTTAATAATAATAATAATAATAATAATAATAACTCGATAAATAACGTATTATTATTTAAATATATATTTATTATAAATAATTTTGAATTTAAAAAAATCCGCCATTTTGAAAATAAATTAATATTCGTTTTGGAAAAATTTTGCCAAGGTGCGTTGTAGTTGTAAAAGTTGATGTTTTTTCATTTTAAAAAAAATTTGCAATTTCACGGTTTTTGCCAAAGGAAAAAAAAAAAAAATTTTATAAATATAAAATAAAGAGAAAATTTTTTTTTTTTTTTGGAAAATCATTCAAATGTTCGTTCGCTCGTTCGTTCGTTCATCAATCACGTTTATTTTATAAACAAAAGATAAAATAATTTCCGGTTTGCGGTTTCCACTCCTCTTCCTCCTCCTCTTTTTTTTTCTCACTACGAGTTTATTATTTTGTAAAATTTCACCCCCTCCCTCCTCTCCACCCTTCCCCTCCCCCTACCTCTCCTCTTCCTCCAATACAAAACCAAAAAAAAAAAATTTCCCCGGAAAAATTATTTAAATTAGTTAATCGTGAAAAGGTTATTTAATTGTTTCAAACAAAGGAAAAAAGGAAAAGAAAAAATAAGTTTTTTTAAAACGGTGAAAAATTTTTCACGGGAATAAAATAATAATAATAATAATTTTTTATACTTATTTAAAAATAAATAAATAAATAAAATTCTGATGGGAAAATTTTTTTTTTTTTTTCAATTATTTTTCTCAAAAGGTTTATATCAAAGGGCAAAAAAAAATTTAAAAAAATTTTTTTTTTTTTACTTTTTTGGAAAAGTTTTGAAATATTTTCATCAACTTTTACCGGAAGGGGAGGGGAAGGAAAAAGCGATGATGAAAAAATAATTAATTAATTAATTTTTTTTTTCCTGTTGTCGTTCGTTGTTAAAAACCTGTCAAAATGGCGACCGATTTAAAAAAAAAAAAAAAAACTTTTTTTTTTTTATTAACGAGATTATTTTATCAATAACAAATTGATCTCCCTCCACCTTCCCCTCCCACCTTTTCCACCCCTCCTCCCTCACCCCCACCCCCCTTTTGAAAAAAATTTTTTTTTTTTTTTTTTTGAGATTTTTTAAATGTTTCAAATAAATTTGCGAGGATGTAAAAAAAAAAAAATTTTTTTTTAATTTTTTTATTTCACAAATTAACGCGTTGAAATGATAATGATTTTCAAAATTTTCCCGCCAATTTTTAAATTTTCCATGAATTTTTCTTTATCGTCAAAAAATTAATTTTTTTTTTCAGTAAAAAATTTTCTGTTTTTTTTCGAATTTTTATAATTTTTCTTGTTATTAAATCCCGATCGTGATTTTTTTTTGTTTGTCACGCCGGAAAAACTCTCTGGAATTCGTGGGGGGGAGGAAGCGGAAAGGGAAATTTAAAGGAAGTCACAAAGATTTGGGGGAGGGGATAAGAAAAAGTGATGAAAAAAAATAAATAAATAAAAAATAAAACATTTTATCGAAATTAATTTCTATAATTTTATAAAAGTATTATCATTATTATTATCATTATTATTATCATTATTACTACAACGTCGTAAATATTTTATCTTATAACAACAACAAAAATCAGTTTTTTTTTACTTTTTACTTTTAAGGGGTTGTTCGTTTTGGTATTTCAGGAATTGCAAACAATAAATATTTGATTTACTGTTTTTATATTATTATTATTATTATTATTATTATTATTATTATTTAACCGAAAAGATAGGAATCCGGTTAATTTTTCCTTTTCTTTTCTTTTTTTCCTTTGAAAATTTACTGATTACGTGATTTTCACTTAAAATTTTTTTAATAGTAAGAAAAAAAAAATTTATTAAATTTTTTTTTCTAGTACAAATATTATATTATTACGGCATTGTTTCTCTCTCTCTTTCTCTTTCTCCAGTTACTGAATTAAGAGGTAAAAAAAAAAAGAAGGATTTTTGTACGGTTGACAAAGACAAAATACAATTTTATCGGTTTACATTAATAAATTTAATTAATTTCGTCAAAAAGGAAAAAAAAAATACGTGAAAACACTCGAAAAGGTTTCGTTGTTTTATATTGATAATAATAATAATTTTACACGTTTGTTAAAAAACGTGTCACTTGAATAATTGTTACAATTCTTCTTACACGTATATCATAACTTTTACTACTATATCTTAATAATATTTATTTACATCTCATGTGATCGTTTTTCATTTTCGATAGATCGATAATTTTTTTTTTTTATAATTATCATTATTTATTTTTCGGATATATGAACTAAAATTTTCCAAGAATAGAAAATTGGAAAAGGTCTAAAAAGGCTTTTTTTTTTGTAAATAAAAATTTCCCACAGGAAGAAGAAAATCATCGTTCATTTTCTTTTTTTTTTTTTTTTTGGTATACGGTTCATTTGTTTATTTTTTAACTTAAAATTTGTTTACAAAGGGGATTATTATTTTATTTGTAGTCACGTGATTGATCACACAGCCTTTTTTAAATGATGATTTTGTTTTTGACGTGTTTGACATAAATCTCGTGTAGAGTGCAGCACTGTTGTTTTTTTTTTTTTTTTAATTCAACTGATCAAACGTTATGAAATTTATTAAAATTTATTTTATTTTATTTATTTATTTTTTTTTTTTTAAATTTACGATAAATTTTTTTTTTTTAAAATAACGTCTGCTTATTTTCCTGCCGTAAATATTAAAAATTAAATTGTTTACGCGTTAAAGTTTTTTTTTTTTTATAAGTAAAAAAAAAAGTTTTAACGATGAATAACCGTTTCTTTTTTTTAAAAACTTTTCACTTAAATAATTTTTTTTTTTTTATAATACACACGCAAAAAAAAAAAATTTATTTATAAATTAAAATTATTTATAATAAATCCTAAAAAATCTTATTTGTTTTCAAAAAAAAAAAAAATTCTAAATTTAATTTAAAACGTTTCAAATTAAAAAAAAAATCCAGTCAAAAACTTTTTTTTAGTTTTTCTTTTTTTTTTTATTACATTAGTTTCAAATTTCAAATGAAAAAAAAAAAAAAAAAAAAAAACGTTCGAAAATGTTTGTTGTTGTTGTTGTTGTTGCTGTTGTTACTGTTGTATGAATTAAATGACCTTAAACCCCGATCAAAATCCTTTTATTAAATCTTTTATTCAATTTCATCCTTAAAAATGTTTTAGATTTTTTTTGTCAAAGTCGACAACACACTTTTTATGTTTTTTTCTTTTTTTATGTTCCAACAAAAAAAAGATTCTTGTTTATTTTGTTTAAAAAAGTTTACAAATAAGTAATCGAATGAATGAATGAATGAGTGAATGAATGAATGAATGAATGAATGAATGATCGAATAAATTATTTTTTTAAAAAAACGTGGGAAAAACTCTCTAAACAATATTTTTTTGAAACTTTTATGTTTTCATTCATTAACGACTAATTATTATTATCATTATTATCACTGTTATGTGAACAAGCAAAACATCATTTGCAATACACCGTTTTATTGATTTACACACACGCGCACACACCCACTCACACAATTAATTAACAATTTATTTATTTGTTTAAACAAAAAGAAAAAAAGAAGAAAAACTTTAATAATTTTTTTTGGCAATTAAATAATCGACGAATTCTTAATAATTTTCTTTTCTCCTATCATCATTATTATTATTAATAAACAATAATTAATATATTTTACGATAAAATTTTAACGTCAAAATTTTTTATTTATTTATTTAAAAAAAAATTTTTTTTTTTGGAAAAGTGAAAAAGTTTTTAAGTAAGTCGTAAAGAGTTCGTTTATGTTTATGATAACATAAAACAACAACAACAACAACATACTCACTCATGAAAACTTAATTTAAAACAAAACTTTTTACGAAAAAAAAAGACTCGCGCACTCACCCACATTCCGACCCCTTAAAAAAAAGGAAAATTTTCTCGAAATTTTTACGTAAAAACGTCATAATGATGATGATGATAATCGATTTTTTAATTTAAAAAAAAAAAACAAACGAATTATAAAAATTATCATCATCATCATTATCACGTAATTGTAATTATAATCCTAATTGGATTTAATATTAAATAATAATAATAATAATAATAATAATAATAATAATAATAGGGAGAAAAACAAAAAAAAAAAAGAAAAATTGATTCTTTTGTATTTCTATTACTTTAATATGGATTATTTAACACAGTATAAAAGCTTAACGTCTCGTCGAACTCTCGCTTTTTTTTTTTTTTTTGTTTTTAAATTAAGATAAAAAAAAAAAAGTTTTATTTAATGATAAAATAAGAAGATTATGGTTATGGATTTTGTTCTAGAAAAACAAAAAGAAAAAAAAAAGAAAAGAGGAAAATGGTTTTCCTATTTTTTTTTTAATAAAATCATCTCACGCGTTATTTAATAATAATATTTATTTTAAGATTATTTAACTTATTTACTACTACTCAAGAATAAAAAAAAAAAAAAAGATTATAATCGAAACATAATTAATGAAAAAGATGGACGGAAAGTGAAAGAAAGAGAGAGAGAGAAAAAGTAAAAAAAAATGGCGTCGTTTATGAAAAACATCATCAAAGACAAGAGGGAAAAATTAAATATGGCGTAAAAACAAAAAATTATTTTATTAAGAAAATAAATTCGTATTAAATGGATAATTTATTTGTCGAAAAGAGAAAGAGAGAGAGAGATTAATTATTTTCTCACACTTTTATATATTCGTTATAAATAATAATAATAATAATAATAATTTTTTTTTTCACAGCACCCGAAGTCGTTATTGTCGACGAGAAAAATCACGAAGTGTCGGAAAGATATTATAAAGCCGGAAGTTCCGTCGAACTCACGTGTATAGCAACTCATATCGAATCTCCGGTTGATCACGTGACATGGAATTTAAAAAACGTCGTCATAAACGATGGCGTAAGGTAAGTGAACGAATAAATAAATAAATGAAAACGATTTGGGAGGGGGAGGGTTAATTAATTGCATTAATGACGTCATCGTTAACGGTTTTTCTTTTTTATCGTCATCATCATCATCTTTTGACAATTTAAAAAAAGATTTTTAATTTAATTTAATTTAAAGAAAAGAAAGAAAAAAAACTATTTCATCCATTTTCCAACCACCACTGATTTACAAGAAAACCTTAAAGTAATTTTAATTTGTTGGCTCAGGTGAAAAGTTTTTTTTTTTTTTTTTTTTTGATTAATAGAAAAAGTTTTTAAAAAAACGAAACATAAATATAAAAAAAAACCTGGTAAATTATTTTTTAAAAAAGAAAAACTTACATAATTTTTTTTTTTTTTTTCATACACCATAATTTATTTTTTTCTAAAGACCCGACGTCGTTAAAAAAACGAACAAACAAATAATTACGACGCGTAACTTTTCTTATTTATTAATAATAATTCTTATTGAAATCAATTTTATTTATTTATTTATTATAACTAAGATATTGATAATAATATTATTATTATTATCTACCGTTAAAAAATTTTCTTTTCTTTTAAAAAAAATTCGCACTTTAATAATTTTTTAAAAAAAAAAAAAAAACTTCCGGTTTAAAGCTTATTGTTAAGAGTAGGAAAAAATTTTTTTTAATAATTTTTTAAAAGTTGGGGGGTGGATGGGGAGACGGGAAGGAAAGAATAAAATGGGGGAGGGAGGAGGAGAGGAGAAGTGGGAGGAGAAGGGGAAGGAGGAGGGGAAGGAGGAGGGGAAGGAGGAG